AGGCTCAGATTGGGGATACGGCGGGTCAGGAGCGATTCCGAGCCGTCACCTCCGCCTACTATCGCGGCGCTGTCGGAGCCCTCCTCGTCTACGACATCAGCCGCCGCACCACCTTCGAGAGCGTCGGTCGCTGGCTCGATGAACTCAAGAGTGGGTAGTCTCTGCTTCCTTCAATCTTCGTCTCCAGTTTCTGTTTTTTGGTTGATTTTTAGGGTTTATTGGGTGTGATTTGCGGATTTTGTTGGATAGATCGGTGCATCTTTATGTTCGGATTCGGTTGATCGTTGATGATCGATTAGGATACAAGTTCCTCCCCGGTTTGGTGATGCTGTAGGTTAGCTAGGTCCTGTAGTTGACTAAAGATTGGAATCATTAAGTTCGTTTGGTACATTTCTTGATTCGGTGGGTTAAACATGAAGCTATTTTTAGACTAGGTTTCAGATGGGTTTGGCCGTATGAATTGTTAGACCTGAGGTCGTATGATGATCTCGTCACTGGGAAAACTGCTCATTTGAGGTTCAAGAATCTCATTAAGCCTAAATATAGTAAATTTTGTGTATGTATTTGGTCTCAGGAATCTTGCCATGAAGGTCAGGGTCTCCTGATGTTCTTCAGTTCTTTGTTTTGCCCGCCTTTCTTCCCACATTGTTTACTGTTTCTCCTTTGCTCAAACTCTAAAGCTGATTCCTCGTTGAATCTGAATTTCTCTTTAGTTAGTAGCACGAGAATATTTTGATCCATACTAGAAATACGAGGTGATAACAGGAGGTATGTTATGGCATTTTCATAAGACCATAGGATGGTACTCAACTGTCCATTTGTTTCAAACTTTTCCTTATTTGTTTCTACTTAACTCTTATTAGCCGCCTACTTATGAATAGGCAGAACTGTTGTAAGCATGGGTTTTTTTTAAGGCTTGATCAGACGCCTCTTACTAATGATATCCAATAAATGCCCTTTCTCCATGTTCTGGTTGCTCGCAAAATATTTGGAGACCCAATATCAAATTTCTTTGCGACCTTCATCCACATATTAGCATATGTTTCTTGCCTTTCGGAAATTATGATGTGTGTCTTTGTGTATAATTTCACTTTTTCTTTCCAGCTCATTCGGATACTACAGTAGTGAGGCTGCTGGTGGGCAACAAAAGCGACTTAGAAAATGTAAGAGCGGTGAGCATGGAGGAAGGGAAAGCCTTAGCCGAATCTGAGGGACTCTTCTTCATGGAGACGTCGGCTCTGGATTCAACTAACGTCAAGAGAGCTTTTGAGAGGGTTATCCGAGAGATCTACGATAACTTGAGCCGCAAGCAACTCAACTCCGACACATACAAAGCCAAACTGACCGTGGACCGGGTAAGTCTCGTTAAGAATGACAAAGATGGCTCCAAACAAGGCTTCGGGTTCTCTTGCTGCTCCCGTTGATGCTGTTTGCTTCATTTGTTTTTCCTTTCTTATTTATAAATTTTGATATGCTTTGTTTCTTTTTTTAAAACCTCATAGAGAAGCCCAATTTCATAATTATAATTTCGAGTGACAGGATTGATACCAACATCTGTGTTGTATTCTTGTATTTAAATCAATGCATTATAGTTTTCCTTGTTACCGATTTTTCATATATTTTTATCTTAAAAATATGAAAAGAAAATCTTATTACTGATTTTTTTTGTTTTAATCGTTTTTTTTTCAATTACTTTATAGTAAAGAAGGAAAAATTCCTAAATTTGAAAAACATAAAAGACAAGAAAAAATATTCTTTCCCCAAAATTTTCTCTGGTTTGTATTGAGGAAGAAGATTAACGAAGAATAGTTTCTTCTTCTTCTCTCTCTCTCTCTCTCTCTCTTTCTCTCTTTTTGGCTTCCTTGTCTTCCTCCGGTATTTTCTCTATCTCTATACGGCGGGAATGTCACCACCTCCGTGGAGCCACCGCCTCTTTGTGGCTTCGGCGACAGCTGTCCTCTTCCTGATCGGCCGGTCATCTGTACGAGCTGATAATGTCTCTCTGAAAGACACCACCGCTCCGAAATTCTCCGGCTGCAGTAATGAATTCCACATGGTAATGTCATTCGATTTCATAGATTTTTTATTCTCTTTTACTCTGATTGGAGTTTCCACACACAATATATGGGAAGGTGCTCTAGTGTTTATCAATGTACGTAATGATTCATAGCGTGTTTAATTTGCCATATGTTTGGATTCTTGATATGTTCCTCGATCGTTTATTTGAATTTAGGTGTTGGATATTATCCAATATCGAGGTGTACGTACTATCTAAATGCATGTTTTTCATGTTCCCGGCATGATAGTAGGATTCATGATCGATCAGCATTCAGGAATGCTTCTTTGTAGGGAATTTACCTAATTGCTTCCGTGGTCAACTAATGGTTGTGATTCATGGACAAGACTTTAGTTGAATGGTGTCGACTAAAAACCAGTCAAGTTATCCGTGCCCCGTAGTTTCATTTGTCGATTTGCAGTGTTTTCTTAATGCTTCTTATTCACAATGATTTGTTTGTGTGGATATTTATAAGCTCGTCGATCCATTCAAAGCAAGAATGTTTGTTCATTGCCTAACAATTTTTATGCATTGCTCCTGATTACAGAATCCATATATCTCCGATTGACTATTATATTGTTTGACATCTGAAGGTCAAGGTCAAGAACTGGGTTGATGGGGTAAATGGCGAATTTTTCTCTGGCATGACTGCTCAGTTTGGCGGACAGCTGCCTTCTGATGAAGATGAAGCTGTTAGGCTGCAGGCTGTTTTAACAAGTCCTATAAATTGCTGCTCCGCTTTAGCCTCCAAGGTATTCCTTTTTCTGTATCTTGAAATATGATGAAGGCTTCGTAGAACTCTAGAGTGTGCATGCATTTTGCCGAACCCACGCTCTCCAACACAACCCAATGCTGAAAATGGATGGAGAGCTCGATGCTTTGTGTAATGTGAAACAGCATAATATTTTTAGTCAATATCAATAAGTTTAATGCCTACAAAAGGTGAAAAAAACATTGTTTGTCATATAATCCTTTTCCAGGTATCTGGTTCTATTGCCTTATGTTTGCGTGGTGATTGTCCTTTCACGACTAAGGCAGAAGTTGCACAGTCAGGAGGGGCTGCGGCTATGGTGTTAATCAACGACAAAGAAGGTAGAGCTTTTGAGAGTGTGTTGATGATATTTGAAACCCCTAATCATAATATCTGCTTGGTATTTCTTCTTACTCATTCAATTTATATTGATTAACTTCTGACATCTGTTTCTCCAACCTTTGCTTTCTAGGTCTAGAGGAGATGATTTGTACGCAAAATGATACCTCCTTAAATGTTTCTATTCCTGTTTTGATGATTGCAAAGTCAAATGGAGAAGCCCTTCAAATTTCCATTGAGCAAAAAAAGAAAGGTAAAATCTAGCGTTCGTCTTTTTTGTGACACCTCATTCTCTGAGGTTCTTGAATTTCATTATGAAGTAAGTGTTTTGTGGCTTTGCCTCGTGGGAAACCAGTAATATCCTCTCTTAGACCAGAAGGATACGAGTTTTTTCCTTGCGTAAATACCTGAGCTTATTAACCGTTATTATCTGCTCTTCCATTTGGCCCACTGGAACTTGAATCTGAGATGAATATATCTCCTGAGCAGTAAGACGATTGGTACCTTTTTAAGATGGAAGTTTCTGATGAGCCACTTTTTTATGTTAACATAAGCGAGTCAACAGAACAAGCGAATTGAAATCGCCAACCCTAACCAGGGGAAAAATTCTGACCAGGCTCATTTTCTGCAACACAATTAAAGGTTGAATTGCCAAGACAAACAATCTTCGATTTCTGTTCTCTTCTTTTTGCACTCATTTCTGTTTTCATTTAATAATTTATCATAGCACTGATTTCTGTCGTGTCTACAATTTCTGCTTTTTCTATTTTCTTCGTTTGAAGTTTTGGCTATATCACATTTTTTATAATTTTCAAATTTTTTGTTTCATCGTCATATAATTAGATGTAGGGTCAGAGGGGAAAAGAACCAGAGTTTTTTTAGAAGCTTTGGCTCTGCGAGGATAGGATTTTGAATATTTTCCATTTGGTGTCGATAGATTAGCAAAAGAATGTTATTGGATTCAGTAGCTTCCCATGGCGATGACTCTGATTGACCGTTTGCATTTGATATAGAATCTCTGCTTGTTAGATGGAAATTTTTGCCCTACACTTTGAAACAATGCATTGTTTCTGTTCATATTTGATTGTGCATTTTCAAAAGTTCAAATCTTTTTTCTCACCTAAAATAAACATATTCTGGGAGGGTTATGACATGGGATTTTCCAGAACAGAAAAGAGACTGAGTAGAAAGAGTTGGAGTAAGCACCGAGAAATAGTCGTACAATTCTTTTCTGTTATTCCAACTAGATGTTAGTCTGTCTCAGATTCATCTGATTCTTTATTTGAAGTTGTTTTCTATTGACGGTTATGTGATTTGTTATATGATTCTTTGATACAGTGGAACTTTTGCTGTATGCTCCAAAACGCCCAATTGTAGATTATGCAGTGGCATTCCT